GTAAACTTCAATTCCCAGAACTCTCCACTTAACATCGACTGACTTCAATTCCCAGAATTCTCCAGTCAGCACCTGTGGATTTCAACTCTCAAAATGCCGGCTGGAGAATTCTGGGAATTGAAGTCCACCCATCTTGAAAGCGGTCAGAGTGAAGCCACGCTTTGAGGAAGTTTAGATATTTGCAGAAATGAATTTGCAAAGATGGTTAAAACTGTTTACTTCCCCCCACCACCACCAAAAAAAAAAGGGGGGGGGGGCTCTGAGGAGAATAGGGCAGAAAGAAACAAGTTTATTTAGAAATGCTCATTCATAAGTCTCACCTCTGCAATTTCCGGAGGGACAGCTCACCTATTGCCTAATTTTTGTCTGGAAAGCAGAAGTTCATGGCTGTGGCAATTGCAATGTGGGATCTGTCACATTGGCAGGTGGCACAGAGGCTTTAAATGGCTACGTGCAGAACACCAATAACAGGAGGGGGGGGGGAATATTTCTGGACATTGGTGGAAATGAATATTTTCCCCCCGCAAAATAGCCCTCTTCTGTACTGTCTCCCATGAAAACACAGGCCCAAACCTCCACTAGATCGCCTTTGGGCTCTCTCACTCTTTCACTTCTCTCCTTGCTTTTCTTTCTCTCTCCTTCTCTTCCTCTCTCTCCTTCTTTCCCCATCCTTCTCTCCCTCTGTCTGCTTCTTCTCCTCTCCTGTCTTTCCCTCTCTCTCCTTCTCCCCTTTTCTCTCTCTCCTTCTCTGCCTGTCTTTCCTTCCCTCTCCCTCCTTCTATCCATCTTTCTTTCCCTCTCCCTCGCTCTCTTCTTCTTCTCCTCCTTCTCTCCCCACTCCCCTTTTCCTGTCGTTCTCTTCCTCTCTTTCCTTCTCTCCCTCACCTTCTCCCCTTTTTCCCCTCCTTCTCTCCCTATTTTCCTCCCTCTCTCTCCTCTCTCTTTCTATCGCCATTTCCTCTTCTCCCTCTCCTTCTCTGCCCCCACTCCACTTTCTGTCTTTCTCTCCCTTGCCATCTCCTCTTCCCCCTCTCTCACCATCTCCTCTCTCCCTCCTCTTCCTCTCTCCCACCTCTCCCCATCTCCTCTTTTTCTGTCTTTCTCTCCCTCTCTCTCTCTCTCTCCATCTCCTCCTCCTCTCTCTCTCTCTCTTACACACTCTCTCTCTCTCCCCCAATTTTCAGTGTAGAAATAATTATAGCAATCTTCCTGGCAGGCCCGACAAAAGGATTTCGGAGGTGTCTTGCGGAGAAGGCCTTGCAGCACGCGTGGCACTTACGTGATTAAAAACAAGTTTTTGCATTTCACAAAATGGTAGGATTTGCATCCTTGGGAGACCCAAAGCAACACGCAGTGTTTCCAGCCTGCTCAGGATTGGCAGGGCAACGGTGCGAAGGAAGGATCTGCTTGCTTCAGAGGGAGCGCGGAAGTAACCACTTTGCAGCCCACCTGCAAATGAGCACGTAGTCGTGGGCGCATTCACAAAATGGTTGCCGCACAACACTTAACCTACTCGCTGTCGGCCGGGGCCACTATCAAAATATTCATCTGGTAGCTAGAAAATGAATTACACATCCCTCTTGCTGTTATTATTTTTTTTCCCCCTACCAATCCAGAAGAAACTTTGGATAGCCCGAAGTTACTGCTGAGAATAAATACAATGAAGATTGATGCCGGGCGTCACACCAACTTCCTATTTGTGTTTTGATCTCCGTCATCCTCCCGATTATGATCCAGGTAAGAGCCAGTTTGCTCTTACTACGTAAGGCAGCAGGCTAGAAAGTGAGAGACCCCGAGTTCAAGTCCCACTTTAGGCAGGAAAGCCAGCTGGGTGATTTTGGGCCAATCACCAGGAGACGGTGAATTCTAGTCCTGCCTTAGGTACAAAAGCCAACTGGGTGACTTTTGGTCAATCACCAGGAGACTGGGAGTTGTAGTCCTGCCTTAGGCATGA